TACATTAATAAATGAATTCAAAATAAATTTGAAAATAAGATACTGTCTGGGCTTAGTCTTATTACTCAATGTTTTAAACATTTGATAAACTTTGGAATATGTAAAATCTCACTTGTTTACTGTTAAGCTTATTGTATTATGTGCACCTTATTTTCTTGTCATACGGGTGGAAACATTAGGATACGATGTGTTTCCTTAAGACACCTGCTGTCCCAGTTGACCTGGGAGTAAATAGGTATACCTGGGTGTTAGTTGACTGGTGTGGGTCGCATCTTGGAGACAAAATTGACCTAATTTGACCGAAATTTTCTGCACAACTAGGGGCTTTCTATATTGTATGTCATTGATGTCAGCTAGGCCTGGATACATTGTACACACATATATATATATATATATAGTTTAAGTAAATATTATTTTATTATTATTATTATTATTATTATTATTATTATTATTATTATTATTATTATTTAGCTTTTCAGTTGAGAGATTATTTAGGCTTGAAGAAAAATTTTATCTTGAAAATTAATTTTGCGGCATTACATTTAATAATACAGTGGACCCCTTGTATACAATATTAATCCGTTCCTGAGAACTCATTGTATGCCAAAATTAACGGAAGGCGAATTAATTTTCCCCATAAGAAATAATGGAAATCAAATTAATCCATGCAAGACACCCAAAAGTATGAAAAAAAAAGTTTTACCACATGAAATATTAAGTTTAATGCACACAAACTGAAGAAGACATGCACAGTTTGTAGTACACTACTAACAGTAGAATACATTATACTTACCTTTAATGAAGATCTGGTGGTGATTGATGGGATGGGAGGAGGGGAGAGTGTCGAAGTTGTTAATGTTTAGAAGGGGAATCCTCCTTCCTAGCCACTATAGTAGCGATGGTTGATTGGGGTTTTGTATACAACCTGGCCAGCTCCAACACACGCACTCCACTTTCGTACTTTGCAATTATCTCTTTCTTCATTTCAATAGTCATTAGCACCCTTTTTCTCGAAGGGTTGGCACTAGAAGCTTTCTTGGGGCCCATGGTGACTTATTTTGTAGAAACAAGCACCAAAAACACTGTGATAATATGGAATGTACCGAATGTATGCTTAGATGCGAGCACACTGGCTGGCTTGTAAGCACTGGCATGCACTGGGCAGTTCAGGCCACGTGTGGATGCGTCCCGGACGAATCGCGTGTGGCGGGTTTTTTAACGAGTGGCAAGGCAAAATTTTTGCGTTAAAATGTATCGTATACCGGATTTAACATATACCGATGCCATCGTATACCGGGGGTCCACTGTATTGTATTCTAGTGTGTAATATTTTACATAGCTTATATTATTGAATCTAATGGCTATACATATTTATATTAATAATAATTTTTATTATAAAAGTATATCCAGGAACTATACTGTATTCAGAAATTGCCATTTTCAAATGTATTTCATAACCTGCTGTTAATGTCTAGTTTTTGTTCTGAATATTGTACAAAATATTTTAAAACATTGTAATTAAGCTTTTATATTATATATATTATAGCTTTAGGTTATAGCTCTCTCCTTTGCAAAAAATTCTCTCCTTAATGTTGGGCTTTTTTTTTTAATTTGTTCACAAATGATTGGCACTTCGATTTTAATAGCTACTTACTTTTTAAAACAACAAATTTTATGCATTATTTATTATTGTTATTATGTATTTTCCACATCAAGATAATTACAAGGAATCTATTTCCTATCACCTGAGAACCATTTTTGTCTTCAGAGTACAGTAGGGCTCCACTTATACGGCAGGTTAGGTTCCAGGCTACTGCCATAAAGCGGAAATTGCTGTAAAGTGAAACAGACCTTTTTTTTTTCACTTATAAATGCATAGAAATACTAGATAAGTTTTCACTAACATAAATCAAGTTAGCAATAGAAGTAGACATTAAAAAACAATGAAAAGGTAAAATGCACATATAGTACACTCATTGCTTACCTTAAAATGTTTGTAGTCTTAATCTAGGGTGAGATGAGTAGTATTTATTGCAAGAAATCAAGTGTGGTATGTATGGTAGCCAGCCAGGCTACCATACCAGGCAAGTAAGTAATATTCTATGACATTTAAGCATCCCAGAGTGATAAAATGCATATACAGTTCACTCATTACTTACCTTAAAATATTTGTAGTCTTAATGTAGGGTCAGAGGTGATTAAATGACATAACACGAAAAAATGAGAGAGAGAGAATGAGTACATGAGAAAGGACAGGTGCAGAGTTATGTAAACAAACCAGGCAGACACCAGTTTTGTAAACAAACCAGGCGAACACTTCTGGTTTGTGTACAAGTTACATTGTGTGCAAGATGTCTGTTGATACGGTAGAATAAATAAAGAGGACCACTTCCATTCTCATGTAACATCATTTTTAGAAGAAATGAAGCTCTGAGTGAATACATACGAAAGGAATAATTTTTTACAATTACCCCCCAGTAACGCATTTCCTTTTACGTTGGACTAGAGAAAACGTTATTCTTGCCGTCACTTGTACAAGTCATCTGGCTACCACATCTCATATTTGTTTATTTATTCTACTGTGGGGTGTATTTATCATGTTTATATGTAACATATCGTGTTTATTATACAATTTTGAAAAAATATCATATATGGATTAATGAAAATGTGTATATTAATGTAATACACAACATTTAATGAGACTGTGATTATTATTGAGTGTTATCATTATATGTTCTCATTATATGGTGTCACTCATAAAAGTCATCTGGCTACCACATCTCATATTTATGTTTATTTATTCTACTGTGGGGTGTATTTATCTTTGTTACGTATCATGTTTATTATATAATTTTGAAAAAATACCATAGATGGAGTAACCCTTTCAGGGTCGGTAGGCCCCATCCTAAACTTGTTCTCAGGGTCGGAAATTTTTCACAAAAAAAAAAAAAAATTCTTATGAAGTGATGGAGAATCTTTTCCCAATCATAACACCAAAAGTATGAAATTTGATGGAAAACTTATGGAATTATGCTCTTGCGAAGTTAGCTGTCTCAATGATGTTTACGCATCGGCAGTTTCGCCCACTTTAAGCCCTATTTTCGACCAATTCCGATGTACCAGTCGACAAAAATCATAACTATTTTGCTAGAACTCCATTTTTTCTATCGAATGAGTACAAGAAACCTCCCATTTACCAATTTCAACTATCAAATAAAGTGGTCCGAAATTGGCAATTTTGCAAATTTCACACAAATTTCAGAAGATGCCAATTTCCAAATAGGGCCCAGAATAAACAAGACAGACATTCCTGGCACTAAAATAAAATTTCCTCTGTTCATTAATCACATCCCCAGGCCTTTATTACATTTCTTATGCTTTCCTTTTTGAATTTTTATTCTCACAAAAAACAGAAGATTTACTGTTATGCAGAGTGCTGCATTAGTGTAGAAATGGTATAAATAATATCAGCGCACATGTGAAAGAATATTAGACTCACCAGTTGACGTGTATTGGATGCATGGTTTTATTTATTTACTTTTGAACTTTGGAAAAAATTGAACATTTCTGCTACTTTGAGCTCAGTTTCAAGGTACTTTTCGTTGTGAAACCAATAAAAATCATCTCAATTTCCATAATATGTCTTCCATTCTATAAAATGAGACCAGGAAAACTAGAATGCAACCATAAATAGCATACGAAAATACCCTGCAAAGTCGTTGTTTTAAACCAAAAACAGGGCCGGAGTTTTTTTTTCTCATTATGCACTATGTGCTGCAGGATTTTTTTTATACTGCGCACACTGACCACATAGACCCATTCTTTCATATGTAGTCCTACCAGCTTTCTCTAGCTAGATTTGAAGGCGCTAGAATTTATGTGTACTAGTACGGCACCAACCCTGGTGTGCAAGCCGTACTAGTATGGCACCAACCCTGAAAGGGTTAACGAAAATGTGTAAAGTAAAAGGACACAAGTGCAACTAATGTTACATTTTATTGTGGCAATGTTTCGCTTTCCAGGAGCTTTGTCAAGCTCCTGAAGAGCGAAACGTTGCCACAATGATTTGTCACATTAGTTGCACTTGTGTCCTTTGTGTCAGTAATTCTACCAACATATATATATATATAATGAAAATGTGTACAATAACGTAATATACGACTTTTAATGAGACTCGGTGATTGTTATTGAGTACAGTGGACCCCCGGTTAACGATATTTTTTCACTCCAGAAGTATGTTCAGGTGCCAGTACTGACCGAATTTGTTCCCATAAGAAATATTGTGAAGTAGATTAGTCCATTTCAGACCCCCAAACATACACGTACAAACGCACTTACATAAATACACTTACATAATTGGTCGCATTCGGAGGTAATCGTTATGTGGGGGTCCACTGTACTATTATTATCATTACTAATATGGCGTCTTGAGTCATGAGACATTCTTAGGAGTTTCCAGACATAATGGAGAGACATGGTGCTTACAGAGCTTATAGGGAATGTAAACAAACCGGGTGGGACACAGTGACCATATTAGAAAGTCAGGTGGGGGAGCCGTATAGTAGTTTTGGTCATAATTTGAAATGTCCATATTAGCGGAACACCGTAAAGCAGGGCCCTACTGTAAACAGAGGCTCACATTTTACTGAATCTTTTTTATTTTATTCCTTGATCATTTACTTTACTTTTATTTGATATCTTGTGTCTTCAGAATTCCTTGGTTTCATTTAGGCAGTATTACAGCTTAGCATGTTCCTTTTTCTTCCATGAAAGCTAACCAATTTTTATAACCCCTCACTACATACACACATAGTATGAGAATAAATGTCTATAAATGTGAGTGTATAATTCATTTGTTCAGTACATGCTTGTGTTTACACACACACACATGCTTTAATATATTTTCACACTTAGGTTGCTTTATTTAATTTTATTCTAAGGTTTAATTAGCAAATGATTGTTTAAATCAAGTAACTAACTTAATTTTGTTATTTGTATAGGAACAACAGAGAGCCTTGAAGAGTAGTGAGAATATGGAAGGAAACAACACACCGGGCTCGGCGGGAACCCCAGGAAGTATTAATGAAGGAGTCAACACTGATCCGAGTCCTGCAAACACACCTCATGCTTCCCCTCGTGCTCCTCTGCCATCACTGACACCACCCCGCCCAATGATTGTTACACAGCGTCCTCAGATGCCGTCAGGGTCACCCATGAGGCAAGGTGTCTCACATGGCATTATTAGAGGGCCTTTAACTCATCCAGGATTAAATGACCCTTATGCCTTGCCACCAGGAACTCCTCATCCCAGCAAATCAGTAGATTCATTTACACATCCACCATCAACTCCAACACCACAGACATCACCTTTGCCTTCACCTACAAGTGATCCTTACTCGCGTATACCACCCTCTCCCAGGCCTCATTCTTCAGATCCTTACAGTATAGCACCACCGACACCACGTCCTGTTGTAAATGACCCGTATACGATGCCACCACCTACACCTCGATCAGTAGATCCCTATGGTAATCAGCCTCCAGGTCAAAGGCCCTTAACTTCCGATCCATTTACAACTTGTACTACACCGACTGACTCATTTTCTCAACCTCCTGCATCCCCATATGCTCAGGCTCCACCCACTCCTCGCCCTCATGATGATGTCTATGGCCCACCACCACCTGGTCCTCCAGGAAGCATCCCAGATCCTGCACGACAACAGCACCTTCGAGAATTACTTCAAAGACCCTGGAGTGAAGGTAGTGGGGTACACCAGACAGTAATCCCTCAACCTCTAACGTCTCCAACAGGGCTTCCTGGTGAATTTCGGCCTCCTCTTCCACCTGTGGTACAGGGACAGGGTGCTCGTATGAGACCAAGTATGGCACCAGGTCAGCCTAACATGATGACACACCCTGTGTCTCCCCAAGGTGGGCAGATGGACCCAAGGGTTAGGATGATTCTTCAGCAAAGAAGTATACAACAACAACAGTCACAGAGGCAGACTGTTGTTGCTGGTCGTAACCCTTTGGACCCTTTTAACCCTCATGCACAGCATCGTCCACCACAGCAGTACATAGGTGCTGCAGGACCTGGAGTACGTCCTGGTGTGACTAATGTGGTTAGAGGCCCCACTGCAACTGTTATGGTGAGCCAAGGATTAGGCTCTCCTCACTTGCCTACTGGCGGAACTGTACGGGTTCCTGTTGTGTCTCCTACTCATCATCCTCAACCACCGACTCACCCACTGGGGCCACCTCCTCATCCTTCAACTTCTCATCCACAACCACCTCATCATTCATCATCTTTACCACAACCACAGCAGTCTCTACCACAGCAGAGCCATCCACAACAGTCCCTTCCTCAGCAATCCCATCCACAAATACCACATTCTCAACCACATCCACAAAGTCATCCTCAGCAGCCACATCCTCCATTACCTCATCCTCAGCAAACCCCACCTTCATCACAGCAACATCAATTAGAGTCAGAGCTCCCAGAGGCAGTGACTCGAGAACTGGAACAGCTAGAAGAAGAACAGCAGCAGCAGCAACATCAGGACCCACCACCACCACCACCTCAGTCAACACCACAACCGACTCAATCACAAACAGCACCATGTCAAGGAGATGACCTGGCGGACTTAGCTGGTGAGATAACCAGTATGGAAGATGACGACTTGCTAGGTGAGTTTTTTGTGATATTTCATAAAGCCTATTTTGTGTCGATACCTATTTGCAGAGTGGATAGGGGATAGTGATAGAGTGGATAGGGAAGCAATGTGGCAGATGTTGCAAGTGTATGGAATAGGTAGTAGGTTACTAAATGCTGTAAAGAGTTTTTGAGGATAGTGAGGCTCAGGTTAGGGTGTGTAGGAGAGAGGGAGACTACTTCCCGGTAAAAGTAGGTCTTAGACAGGGATGTGTAATGCCACCATGATTGTTTAATACGTATATTTATAAATGGGGTTGTAAAAGAAGTAAATGCAAGGGTGTTGGGGAGAGGGGTGGTACAAAATTATGGGAATCAAATACAAAATGTGAGTTGACAGTTACTTTTTGCTGATGATACTGTGCTTTTGGAAGATTCTAGAGAAAAGTTGCAAAGGTTAGTGGACGAGTTTGGGAGGGTGTGGAAGGTAGAAAGTCGTAAGTGTATATAGATAAGAGTAAGGTGACGAGGGTATCAAACAATGTAGATACAGAAAAATTGGATATCACATTGGAGAGAGGGAGTATGGAAGAAGTGAATGTTTTCAGATATTTGGGAGTTGACTTGCCAGCCTCGGTGGGAAATGACCGACATGTTAAAAACAAAAAATTATTTACAGTTACGAGAATAAAGCTTTTCATTTACTGTATTGTATGTTCTTCACCGTTTCGTTGGTCATGTAATTTTCCAAGTATTTTTCCTGTGGTTGTAGCATTTACTATTTCTTCTTTGATCTCATTTCAGTATTCTACCACTGTATAACTTTTTATAATTTTTTTTTTTATTGCATTAAGAAATTTTCTTTACGTTCTCATATCCTTTTATGATCTTGTATGTGGTTAAATGCATCTAAGCCTTTTTCTCATATCAAACACTGGCATTTTTAACATTTAGTCATCATAACATATACTGTACCTATTTTTTTTTTTTTTTTTTTTTTTTTGAAGTTATTTTGCAGTACAGTACAATGTCAAATATCATGCAATTTATATTCACAAAAAGCTGTGCTTTACCTGAAATAAGAGTTAAGTGGGCTGAAGAACGTGGAATAATAGGGTTGCATTCCTAACCTCTAAAAAAGAAGTCAGAAAGTAATGCTATTTCATACTGTTCATAGTATTGTACCTGTTGTTGCGTGTCAATCTGGAAATGTGTGCTGAATGTTGATGTTGCTCTACTAGTTGGGTGTACAGGTTCAGTGTTTGTACAGTAATAAAACGCTGTACGTGTAGCTAAAACAGGCTATGTAAACATATTCTGTTGCGCCTTAAGTTCTTGTTGTTGGTGTTTGTTGATCTAGTATAACTATGGATTCTGTAGTTACATTTAGGTAAAATCACATAAACAGGCAATAAATAAAGCAGACTAGAACCAAATAGGGAAAAAAAAAATAGTTGAGCAAATTTTTATTTATTTTATTTACTAATGCAAAAGAGGTTAACCCTTGGACTGTGAGTCACATAGAACTAAGTTATTATAACATTGGAAATTAAGCCTTTAACCCTTTGAGTGTCAGGACTCCTGCTCGCAAACTTGATGACGGGATTGAAGAATTTAAAAAAAAAAATTACTTTTTCTTATGAAATGATGGAGAATCTTTTCCCAAAGACAATGAAAATAAAGGTATGAAATTGATGGAAAACTTATGGAATTACGCTCTCGCGAAGTTAGCGGTCTCGGCTATATTTACGGATCAGCGATTTTTACCCATTTTGAGCCCTATTTTGGGCTAATTCCATTGTTCCACTCACCAAACTCATTGCTATTTCAATAGAACCCCATTTATTCTATCGACTGAATACAAGAAACTACCCATTTACCTACTTTAACTACACAATATAGTGATCTGAAATTTACTAATTTGGCCAATTTCACACACAATTCAAGAAAGGCCAGTTTCAAAATAGGGTCCAGAATAAACAGTGCAGACATTCCTGGCACTAAAATAACATTTTCTCTGGTCATTAGTCACATCTCCAGGCCCCTCTTATATTTCGCTTGCTTTTCATTTTGAATTTTTATTCACACAAAAAATAGAAGATTTACTGTTATTCAGACTACTGCATAATTGTATTAATTGTATAAATAATATCTGAGCATTCTTGAATGCATATTAGACCCACCAGTTGATGTGTATTGGACACATGACATGATTTGTTTATTCTTGAACATCGGCAAAAATTTAGCATTTCCACTGCCTTGAGCTCAGTTTCAAGCTACTTTTAGTGTGTAAACCATTCAAAATCATCTCAAGAACATGAGATTACGGCCATAAATACTATACGAAAATACACCGCAAAGTCACCGTTTTAACCTTTTCAGGGTCCAGACCCCTGATCTGAAACTTATTCCAAGGGTCCAAGAATTTCCACCCCAATTTTTTTTTTCTTATGAAATGGTAGAGAAACTTTTTCTGAAGGTAATAAAACAAAAAATACTAAATTTGATTGAAAATTTATGAAACTGCACTCCTGAATTTTGCTGCATTGGCAATATTTACGCATTGGCGATTTTGCCCACTTTGACTTCCAGTTTAGACCAATTACATTATTCCAGTCGACCAAATTCTTAGCTATTTCACCACCATTACTTCTGTTTTATCGATTGAACACAAGAAATCACCCAGTCAACTATTTCAACTACCCAATAAAGTGGTTGGAAATCGGTAATTCGGCCAATTTTACACAAAGTTCAAAATAATCCAGTTTCAAAATAGGGTCCAGAATAAATAATGGAGACATTCCTTGCACAAAAATAACATTCCCTCAGTTTATTAGTTATGTTGCCAGGCTTTATAAATGTATTCCACTTTGATTTTTTATTCACATCATGAATTTATATTCACACCAAGAAATAGAAGATCTACTGTTATGCAGTATTGTAATAACTGCATAAATAATATCAGCTCATTTGTGAACGCATATTAGACCCACCAGTTGGTGTGTATTGGTCACACGACGTCATTTGTTTACTCTTGAACATCTGCAAAAATCGAACATTTCTGCTACTTTGACCTTAGTTTCAAGCGTTTTCAGTGCTAAAACCAATCAGAGTCATCTCTATTTCTGTAATATATCTACCATTCTATCAGATGAGACCAAAAAAAACCAAGATACAGCTGTAAAAGACTTAGGAAAATACACCACAAAGTCGCAGCATTACGTGCTGCAGGATTTGTTTTATATGGTGTACACTTACCACATAGATGCATTCTCTCATATCTAGGCCCAAATTTACCACTCACAGCTTATCTGAGTGAGCTGAGCACACAATGTAGAACTACAGCATGGACCCTGGCTTCAAAGCCGTAGGACTACCGGACAGACCCTCAAAGGGGTTAAACCAAAAACACGGTTGCAGGTATTTTTCTTGTGCTGTGTGCAGCAGGATTTTTTTTATACTGCAAACACTGACCACACAGACCCATTTTCTCACATGTAGGTCTACCAGCTCTTTCCCACCAGATTTGAAGCTGCTAGAATTTTGGTGTAGTACTACAGCACCAACACTGGCTTGCAAGGTGTAGTACTATGGCACAAAGAGTGAAAGGGTTAAGTATATGTTAGAGGAAAAATATTGTATGTCCTAAAACAGTATTTCATAAAAACAAGAAATAATATTTTACAAGGAATGTAGATGAATAAATAGTTACAAAAGTTTTGCATCATGAATGAAAATTGAATCAAATGTTTGTTTAAAAAAAGGATGGGGGGGGGGGGAGACAAAGCAGCAAAGAATGTTTTGATGGAGAGTGCTGGGGAGATGTGAATAAGAAAGGAGAGATTTGGAGCCAGTGCAGGAAGTGTCACTACCAAGAGACTTTACAAAAACTTATAAAATATGCTAATAAAACATATATAGTAAGAGAACATGTTTTTACTTCATAAATCTGGCAGTTACTGACCAAAACAAAACAAAAAAAAGTGACATCCTCTCATTCTTACTTTGTTTCATTAAAGTTTTTCAACTTTTGTTATTGCACAAGATATTTTCTGTTTTGTTTTTTGATATTGTTAAGAATTACATTTTTCAGTCCTCAATGGAATGTTGAAAAATAACATAACATAAGGTACATTATATCATAATCTACACCTGGAAAATCCTGGAGGAACTAGGCCTCTACCTGCACCACATGATCACTGGGTATGATAGCAAGAGACTTTGCAGTCAGTGCAAAGTGCCTCCAGTAGAAATCGGTGGCTCAGTGAGTGCATTATGAGACAACTAAGTAAGTTTCAGTGGTCCCTTAATTTTCCGTGCCTTTTCTTCATGCATATAGAGAATTATCAGCCAGCCTCTGGCTGTCTTTAAGAAGGAGCGTGATAAGTTCCCAAAATCAGTTCCTAACCAGCCAGGCTAATGCTCGTATGTTGCACTGCTTGCTGCCAGTAGTCACAGCTTTGTTGTTCAGTCCTTGATCCACTGGGAAGCCTAGGCTGCTGGGTATTGACCCCTGAAAGCATCCTTTGGGTATCCTTCAGGTATAATAAATGTCTTTAGAGGAATTCACCATTCTCTAAAGCACATTTCTGCAACACCCGCAGTGTGTATATATATATGAATGTAGTACTACAATAGTATGTACCTTGTAGTTTATTTTATTTAAATTTGTTTAAATTTGCATTTATATACAGTACCTGCTGTTTATAAAATTATTTCTTCCCTTCAACTCTGAACATCTTGAGTTTAAAATATTACAAAAAAAAAAAAAATACTTGTTCAGGTATGGGTGGAGATTTCAATGCCCTCTTGGAATTTGCTGATGGAGAGGATGGTGAGGAGGATAATGAAAAGCTGCCTTCAAACCTCTTTGATGATCTTGATGGTGATGAAGATGAGAGGTAAGTTTAAAACCTTCTCTAAGTAAATTGCTATTTTTAGTTATCTGTTTTTAGGTACAAGAACATATCTATTCTCGTGGTCCATCATATTCTTGTTTAAATTTTCCATTGCCTCTAGCACTTATAACATCCTCTTTAAACTGATTCCATTCTTCTACACTACTTTTAAATTATTATTATTATTATAATCAAAAAGAAGCGCTAAGCCGCAAGGACTATACTGCACACTACTTTTAAAGAAAAATTTCCTGGTATCTCTTCAGCTCCCTTATTGTTTTCTTAATTTATAATTGTGACATCTTGTTATTTTTGTTGCAAGTACTAAATATGTTATTCTCTCATGTCATTTATAACGTTGTGTAATGTTATGGTGATGGTGTTTCTTTTTTGGGTTATCATGCCTCAGTGGGAGATGGCTGGTGTGATAAAAAAACAAACAATTATCATATCTCTTATTTTCCTGCTATTGGCTTTTGTGGTTATATTAATGTTTTCAGCCTTTTCTCATAACTTTTTTTTTTTTTTTTTTTTTTTTTTTTTTTTTTTTTTTTTTTTTTTAGCCCTGGGATTTATTTTGTATCTCTTTACAGTGATTCACATTTTTTTCAGGTGTGGACTTCACATAGCAGATGTATATTCCAATATTTCATTTCATTTATTTTGTAAGGATTTGTTTCAGTGTATCTCATCCATATATTTGAAAGCTGTTTTATAGTTAACCTGTGTAGTAATTGCATTTTTCAAAATTTCATTTATATGATCTGGTGAATTTTTTTTTATTATTAAAATATTCCTAATCACAGAATGGGTGAGGCTTGAACCCATCGCAAGTGAGTCCTAAAACTCACAGGCCAGTGCATTAACACTTTGACTGTCGCAACCCCAAATCCTAAAGTGTGTGTGTCTGTCGTGAAATTTTCAGAAAAAAAAAAATTATTTTTCTTACGAAATGATAGAGAATCTTTTGCCGATGTTAATGACACCAAAAAATACCAAATTTGATGGAAAACTTACGGAATTACACTCTCGCGAAGTTTGCAATCTCAGTGATGTTAATGCATCGGCGATTTTGCCCACTTTGAGCCCTATTTTCGGCCAATTCCATTGTTCCAGTTGACCAAAATCATAGCTATTTCTTTAGAACTCCATTTGTTCTATCAATTGAGCACAAGAAACCGCCCATTTACCGATTTCAGCTACCCAATAAAGTGGTCAGAAATTGGCAATTTGGCCAATTTCACGCAAATTAAAAAAGATGATAATTTCAAAATAGGGTCCAGAATGAAGAATGCAGACATTTCTGGCACTAAAATAACATTTTCTCTATTCATCAGTCATGCCTCCAGGCCCCTCTTGCTTTCTATTTTGAATTTTTATTCACACAAAAAGTAGAAGATTTACTGTTATGCAGACTACTGCATTATTGTAATGATTGTATAAATAATGTCAACCCATTCGTGACTGCGTATTAGAATGGCGAATTGGACACTTATTGGACAATGATGTCATTTGTTTACTCTTGAACATTTGCAAAATTCAAACATTTATGCTATTTTCAATTTCAAGTTTTTTTCATCGTGAAACCAATCAAAATCATCTCTATTTCTGTAATATGTCTTCCATTCTCTCAAATGAGACCAAGAAAACGAGAATACAACCATAAATATTATACTATGTAAATATGCCTCAAGGTCGGAGGTTTTTTTTTTCTCATGCACTGCGTGCTGCAGGATTTTTTTAATGTTACGCACACTGACCACACAGACCCATTTCCTCACGTATGGGCCTACTAGCTTTCTCCCACTTGATTTGAAGCCACTAGAATTTTGGAGTATAAATACGTCAAAAACACTGGCTTGTAAAGCGTGTACATACTACCGGAACAGTCAATGGGTTAAACCACTCGGCCAGCTGTCTCTAACAAGATTTGTCCTTATAGGTTTGTATATTTCTGTACACCATAGGGAAGTTAACATGAGCCTCACTGTGACAACAAATGTAAGTTTTTACAGACAAATCTCACACCAGTGTGGCTGTGACTTGCTCTAGTACCACACCATCCATGCTGGTGGGAGATTTATCTGTAAAAACCTGCATTTGTGGTGTTTAGAAATATACCTGGTTGGATGAATCTTATTAGAGCTTGCTGGCTGAGTGGTTAGCACACTGGTCTGTTAGTTTTAGGACTCGTTCTCTGATTTGTTTGCATTCATGTTGTTGTGGTTTCATGTGTCAAAAAACTCCTTGATCCATTTCTTTGTATGATACTCCAAAAGTTTTGTCATAACACATTATCTTTGTTTTTCATGTGGTCTGATGTCATGTACTCTTACTTCTGTCATGTTAAATCTTTGTGCCCATCTGTCACTTCCTTCGTTTAATTTATTGAAATCGTCTTGTAAAGATATACTAATTTTTATTACTTTGCACAAGATTTTTGCATCTGCAGACTCTGTGAATTCATATAATGTAATTTTCTTTTTCTTTTGGTAAATCATTTATGTAAATAAATATATAGGGGGCAAGTACAAATCCCTGTAGCACACAGCTGGTAATATTTCCCCAGTCAATGCTTCCACTTTCCTCTCAAAGTTTTATCCACTTAATAGCTTGTCGTTCATTCCTCTTAAATTTTCAAGTTTCCAGTTAGTTTCTCATGGGGAGGACTTATCAAATGCCTTAAATCTAAGTAAATACTGCACAAGCTGCCTATTTATTGTTTTCTTCCACAGTTTTGTGACTCATAATAGTTTAATAGATTTGATGGTATAAACCTTGGTAATAAATACCGACAAGTTCGGTAATAAATACCGAAAGACACGTAAGCAAACATAAGAACATAAGAAAGGAGGAACACTGCAGCAGGCCTGTTGGCCCATACTAGGCAGGTCCTTTACAATTCATCCCACTAACAAAACATTTGACCAACCCAATTTTCAGTGCTACCCAAGAAATAAGCTCTGATGTGCAAGTCCCACTCAAATCCAACCCCTCCCACTCATGTACTTATCCAACCTAAATTTGAAACTACCCAAAGTCCTAGCCTCAATAACCCAACTAGGTAGACTGTTCCACTCATCAACTACCCTATTTCCAAACCAATACTTTCCTAGGTGTAATATACCGACCTCCAGGCTTGGATCACGATAGAGGGAGACTTCTTTGGGACGAAATTGTTAGGGCTTCTGGACACAGTAACATAGTCATAGTAGGGGACTTTAACTTTAGTCAAATTGACTGGAATTCTTTGAAAGGTAATCTAGAGTCCAGTGACTTTATGGAAACAGTTCAGGACTGTTTTCTGAAACAGAGCGTAACTGAGCCTACCAGGGGTAATAATTTGCTAGACCTAGTCTTGTCAAATAAGGAAACACTCGTGAATAATCTGGAGATCACTGAAGAGCTTGGCGCAAGTGATCACAAATCCATCACTTTTAGCATTAATTGGGAATGCAAGAGTAATGATAATACAGTAAAAATCCCTGATTTTCGTTCTGCCGATTATAATGGACTTAGGGAACATCTGTCTAATCTTGATTGGGGTTATCTAGCTAATGATTTTATTGACAATAATCATACTTATGAATATGAAGGGATCTGCTTTTATGATTGTTTTCTTAATAATGTACACAGTGCCCAGAGTATATACATTCCCCAGAGAGAAATTAGGTCTAATAATAACGATCGCAAATGGGTCAACAGGAGGCTAAAGCATCTATTAGGGGAGAAAAGGGGAATTTATAGGCGCATCAGAAGAGGAGAGGTTAACCTTACTGACCAATATGTTCAGCTTAAAAGAGAAGTAAAAAAGGCGATTAGAAAGGCTAAACGTGACTATGAAATTAGAGTTGGTAATGAATCAAAGACTAATCCAAAGGGGTTCTTTCAAGTGTATAGGACGAAGGTGAATTATGACATATTTATTAGAAAACGTGATCAAGGTCCCAGGACCGAAATGTTTTCTAATAAATATGTCATAGTGTTTGCTTATGTGTCTTTCTAAACCAATAGATTTGATATACAGGAATTTCCAGACTGAAAGCTGAATCACTTACTAGTCAGTATATTATTCCTCTCAGAGAATTTTATTTGTTTTTCTTGAATGGCATTTCTCAGTGTGTTTGCATCACTTCAGTGAATCTGGTGACAGTCTGCCCTGTCACTGTTCTTAATTGTTGGCATAATGTGTGCTATCGTTGGTTTGTCTGCCAATTTATGCTCTTACAGTGAAATGCTAAAAAAATTCCGAAGTTCTACACATATTTAGGTAATGCTTTTCATGAGTATTTCATCAAAGTTTTGTTCTGTATGTTACCAGCAGTAATTTCTTTCATATGATACAATTGTATAATGTAACCTTTCACATCTTGTATATTAATTACCTGAAGTTTCAAAAGCAGTGCAGTACAATAACCTTTGTTCTTGCAGGAGAAAGAGAGAAAGAGGCAGAGAGTTGATGATGTCCCGTGGCCTGCAGAAAGGTAAGGTAGTCATATCAAATGAGATACCTGTAGGTTTACCTTCCCCTGGCATGCTCTTGCATCCAAGACCTACTCTATCACCTGCCCACGAACCTGAGAACCACCGTATTAGTACTGTGACCTTAGACAGCGTACCACAGCCACAAGAGCCTCACCAGTCTCCGACGGTGCCCCACAGTGTACAACAGAGACCTTGTATTGAACAGGGTGTGCCGCTGCAACACCCTGAAGCATCAGTAGCATCTAATATGGCTCCATCTGGCCCCAATCCAGTGAATGTGAGCAATACCGAATGTTCAAATATGCCTTCACCTTCAACAATGGTTCCAATGGGGCATTCTTCTGGACCCCCTACTGGACCACCACCTGGACCATTAATGAGTCCAGTTCGCTTAACCATGAGCACATCCCCTCAACAACAGCCAGTTCAGCCACAAATGGCACCTCATATAACTCGAGCAACCCCAAGTAAGTGGTGGATAAATAATTATATCATGGCTTAACTCATTGATAGTGTTTTTATACAATTTGTTAGAATGATTGTGATTATATGAAAGCATTATTAGTTTAAATGGATAATAATTTGATGGACAGTCTCTCATTATTTAAGGTTCAGGGTTTTCAGGCATTGGAGTAACAAGAATGCTTGGGCATAGAGTGGGAATGCTCCGTCAGCCTGCACCACCACCACCACCATACCCTGGCCACCCTCCTCCCCCTTACCCAAGACCCCAGGTAAGGTAGATTTGGCATGATAAGGCCTTGAGAAGCTTTCTTTGTTGTGGTTGGCAGGATGTTGCCTGGTGCAGGGATGGTTATTCTTTTGATAATTTTTCTGATATGCCCTTACCTCTTATTATCTGGAACCTGTTTATCCAGAATTTTTACCAATCTGGACATCAGATTTTGATGTCTTCTCTTTATGTGTACTTCAAGTGAAGTTAAGCATACACAGTGATGTGTGGTGTGTCTAACAATGATGGTTTTAGCTAAACAGGTCCTGGAAAATACAGTAATGGGTATAAATATTGCTTGCCACATTACTCTGATGGGTTACTGGGCATTGTTTTTTTTTTTTTAAATACGAATTTGGACTACTGCGAATTATTTAAAATGTAGTGTTAACTTTTAAAGATAAAAGATAACTTAAATGTAATGTTTCCACTTCCAAGGGATGTATTTGTAATATTTCATATCAGGTAGGAGAATGAGGAATATAAATTTTATTTTTAGTTATAACTAGACACATCTCTAGCTTTATATTGGTTACATGCATAGAGGAGTTGGACAGTGGTTATTTGAATTATAAATTTCAAGGGTCTTACACGTGAGAGGAAAGTTGGTGTCTTTGGGTTGGGTGAAGCAGACTTTCGTGAGCACAAACCTTCATCCATGACTCTTTAATTTCATTATGAATTATCCTCTTTGTATGCGTGTGTGTGAGAGGAAGAGAATCGATAAATCAGTGTGAATGTGTGATTGAATAATGAAAGGTGTGTGATATCCCTAACTTTATTTACATGTTAGTAAATAATAAGGTTATTGTATAGGATTTTTTTTAATATTTTCAATGTTTGCTACTATTGGTGTAGCCACATTTGAAATGTCATATAAGGGAAAATTTTGGAACATGGCATCATGTAGAAACTGTTACTATTGCTCTAATATGTAAATTCATTGTAAAGAAAATTAACACAAAGTACCAGTGCTGTATCTGTATTGAGGGTGGGTCTAGTCTGTTAGAGATGAAAAATCATTTTCAGAATTTCTCCTCTCTCGCACCCCTAAATTTATTCCACATCATGGGAAAATCATGTTGACTAAACTTATACCTGTTTGGATAATATTTATGGGTGCCTCTCGAAGGTTGAAGTTACCACAGGATGACCTGTGCATCTTCCCCATCTAGGATGGTTATTATCCTCTTGGGGGGTGGGGGTATTTTGGCAGTTCAAACTCATTTGTCAGAACTCTTCGCAGCTTCTGGAAATTTGTTTCAGTGGTGGTAGACAATTTGCATTAGATATTGGAGTTGCTTTTCATTCTTTCAGTTCTTTCTGTTGCACTCCTGAATTAAAACGACCCCGCATTCGGCTTTGTCAATGACGCCCTTGATATTTCCCACCTTCCGCAGAGCCTCTTGAAAGTCCTTATATGAGTCCCAAGTCAACAGGTCTTTGCACAGGAACACACTTAATCTTGAGGGCCTGGAGGAACTTGAGGGAGTTTTTTGTGACCAAGGAATTCAAAGTTTGAGGAGGACCCTGTAGAAAGTCAGCACGTTTTGGGGAGTCATGGTTGTCTTCCCTCACTTCCTCTGTCTTCAAAATTGCCTTCTTATTGTCAGCAGAAATGGAAGAGTCAAACAACACCAATCCTACTATTTCCTCTGGTAAGTACCACAAGTGGGCTTCAAAATTTGACACTGCGGCTGTTGCAATTTTCTTGTGATACTGATGGTTTTTGAAGGAGCTACAGATCACTGAATAGCACTGCAACAGTGATTGGAGATGTGACCCAGGCTTTTAGGTAGATGGTCAATGTGAACATGCTTACGTCTTTTATACAAGTTTCCTTTTGAAACTTGCTTCTGAAACATCCACATCTTCAGGCAGTAGGATACTTTTGCCATCCATCATGCTTGATGCATTTCTCTCAGGCGCTTGAAACAGTACTTGGGAATCATTACTCCAAGGAAGATAGACAACTCAATGAATTCTCTGTAGTCATCTTGGTATTTTCCTGATTCCAGAGCCTTGTACATGAACTGAAGCACTTCTGTCATCTTTGCCAGTAACCAGCAGGATTGCTGGTTGGACTGGTCAGTGACATTCAATTTTATCTTGAACTTCTTGAATAAGGAAATATCAAGGCCTGATGTGGGTCCATAGCAAGCATTGAAGACCCTAGTCGCCATCATCCATTATGCGATAGCGGCTAAAGAAAGTTCCTTCTCATTGCTGTTCAAGGCACATCCATGCATCTAAGAACCATCCAGTGTTTGAGGTAGTCATATCAAAGTACATTCCAAAGATCCAGCAGCTGATATTCCTCATTGGTGGTACTGACAATGCCTGCAAGTTGGTTCATGTGTTTGACTGAATTCAGCAAATCTGTAATGAGCTTTCCATCCTAGTGAACAAAGAATAGAACCTTCTCAACTTCATCCTTAAATTCTATTCCTAAGCTGCTGCAGTGATGTTCTCAGTATCGTTTGATGGAAGAATGACTAATGTTGAGCTGTTTTGAGTTGTGGCCAAGGTTCTTTATTTCTTCGATGATACATGTTGCCATTTGATCACTCAATTTTAAACAGTCAGGTGCTGCAGCAGACATCACACTCTTCATTATTTTCTTTGCCCTATTATTTGATGGACTCTTGCCAACTCTACATGCTCAAATTTCCTCGTTCACCTGTGGATTCTGACACAAGCATTAATGGAAGAAGATGACATCTTTACCTTTGTGTTTTGTTATTGATGGATCCTGTTGTACCTCACCTTCCCCGTTCCTGTTGAGCCAGCAAGAAAGCCCATCCTCTTTGTTCTTCATGATGGAAAGAGCACTCACATGATCCACATTAAACAGGTTCAGATGCCTGCACCTGAATGCTGCTGCCACCTCCTTTCTCTGTCTGGCTGCTGTTCTTGTGGAGAGTGAGGATCTTGTTGATGGCATGGCCCTTTCTCCTCGTCAGAATTCTAGATTTTGCCCAAAAACCCTCAATATCTTCCCAAATTGTGTCAGCTCTTGCCTTCAACTCCTTTAGATCAATTTGATGGTGCAAGAAAACATTAAGCACTTGGCCAGCAGAAGGTAATTTTGAGCTGAGAATCTCATCTGACTTGTCAAGGATATCAGTCCATGATTTTTTGCCATATCCTCTTAACTTACAACCCTAGGTGAAGGAACTACAGAACATAATTTTTTTTTTTTTTTAACACTTCAGCCTTTTCCCACCGAGGCAGAGGGATCTAAAAAGAAAAAAAAAAATTCATCATTCAACGCTTTCACCATCATTCATACATAATCACTGTCTTTGTAGAGGTGCTCAGGTATGAAAGGTTAGATGTCAGTCCAAACAACCAATATCCCAAACCCTTCCTTTAACCCTTTCAGGGTCCAGAAGCTAAATTTCAAAGTGCGCACCAGGGTCCAAGAATTTAAAAAAAAAATTTTGTTATTTTTTCTTATGAAATGGTAGAGAATCTTTTTCTGAAGGTAATAAAACAAAAAGTACGAAATTTGACGGAAAATTGATGAAATTATGCTCTCGCAAATTTTGATGTGTCAGCGATATTTATGAATCGACGATTTTGCCGACTTTAACTCCCATTTTAGGCCAATTACGTTATTCCAGTCGACTAAATTCTTAGCTATTTCACTAGTCTTACTTCTATTCTATTGATTGAGCACAAGAAATCACCAAGTCAACTGTTTCAACTACAAAATAAAGTGATCAGAAATTGGTAATTTGGCCAATTTAACACAAAGTTCAAAATATTCCAGTTTCAAAATAGGGTCCAGAATAAACAATGTAGGTATTCCTGGCACTAAACTAACATTTCCTCTGTTCATTAGTTACGTTTTGAGGCTTTGCAAATGAATTCCATTTTGATTTTTTATTCACATAATGAATTTTTATTCAAACCAAAAAATAGAAGATTTACTGTTATGCAATATTGTAATAATTGTAATTCTGTAATTCGTCTTCCATTCTATCAAATGAGACCAAGAAATTGCAAATACAACTATAAAAAACATACGAAAAAACACTGCAAACTCGCTGTTTTAATTGAAAATCACGGTCTGTTTTTTTTCTCATTATACACTGTGTGCTGCAGGATTTGTTTTTTGTGGTGCACACATACCACATAGATGTATTCTCTCATATCTAGGCCCAAATTTACCACTCACAGCTTAGCGGAGTGAGCTGAGCTCATGGCGTAGATCTACGGTTTGGACCCTGAAAGGGTTAAAGTGCAGGCATTGTACTTCCTACTTCCAGGACTCGAGTCCAGCTAACCGGTTTCCCTGAATCCCTTCGCAAAATTTTATCCTGCTCACACTCCAACAGCTCGTCGGGTCCCATTCACTCCTATCTAACACACTCATGCACACTTGCTGGACATCCAAGCTCCTCGTCCATAAAACCTCATTTGCCTCCTCCTTCCAACCTTTCCTAGGAAAACCCCTGCTCTGCCTTCCTTCCCCTACAGCTTTGTACGGTCCTAGTCATTCTACTTTGTTCCATCCTCTCTAAATGACCACCTCAACAACAGATTCTCTGCATATTATTTACACTACACATTTCCCATAGACATGACATCTCCACTGCCTCCAGCTTCCTCCTTGCTGCAGGATTTACAACCCATGCTTCACACCCATATAGGAGTGTTGGTACCACTATACTCTTGTACATTCCCATCTTTATCTCCATGGATAATGTTTGTTTTACGGCCACAGATACCTCAATTCACCACTAACCTTTTTTCCTTCTTAATTTTTTGTGGTTAACCTTATCCTTCATAAACCCATCTGTAGACAAGTCAACTCCCAAATATATGGATGAATCTTTCCTCCGTATGCCATGCGTGTTGTAAAAGTCGACTAAAATGCTGGGAATAATGGGCTAGTAACCCCTTTTCCCATGTAGCTTACTAAAAAGAAAAAGAAGACAACCGTCAAAGTGGGATGTTTGAATGTGTGTGGATATTGTGCGAATGATAAGAAAG